CCCCTGTTGTGATATTGTTCTTCTCGGGCACCCGATTAAGATGATCGGGAAGGCTGCTATAAGACCAGGGTGAGGACCATTTCAATTTACCGGTTGACTGTACATAAAACTCGCTTAATACATTGTCTAATCACGTCCCATCTATTTTTCATTTATATCAAAACACTTGGAATCACCTATTTGATTGACCGGCTAACCCGTGGCTTCTACGTGTAGCTCATGCCGGATTACTGGCATGTGTCTCAACCTCTGCCTATATAAGGTGCATTTATTACTGAAATATGGACTTTTTACTTGATATATACCTACCCGAGGCCTTCTCGATTCGGCCACCCTACTTCTCAGTCAAAGAAGATAATGCCACAACTCATACGTATGAGATTTAAACACATCAGCATTAACATTTGAAATAAATTCATATTTGTAACCTTCAAAATCAATAACTTAACCTGAGATTTAACACAACGGTTACAAACGTTAATTCTTTAAAATAAAAATTGAAATTAATTCATTAGGATTAGAATTAACACACCAGTTAAGAGAGAACATTTATGCTATCAAATTCGCTCTAAAAAGGAATTGTATATATACTAGTGCAAACGCACTTCCCATTCCAATATGAGACAAATGCTACTTCCAACCTTTCCATCTCCATTTTTAAACTCAAATTGGTATACTTCGAAAATCAATTTTTCATTTATCCATTATCCGTTTTGAGTGTACAATATATCAGATTAATTTCTTCATCTCACTTCGAATGACCCGAATTCACCTTAATCCGACCCAAATTAAAAGTATATATATTTATACCACAAAATATCCACTCAAATGTCATTTTTGCTAAAAATTTCTAACACTTAGGTCCGTTTACTAACAGAAAACTATTTTCTGTTTTTGTTTCCTAATTTTTCAGTTTTCATTCTCTGTTTTCCATTTTCTGTTTTCTGTTTAGAAAACTTATTTACTAACATAAAATTGTTCTCTATTTTCTGTTTTCTAATTTTTTTAGTTTTCACCTAAAATTTAGTTTAGATAATATTAATTTTTTTTAGCTAATATTTAAACTATATTTTTGGATATATTCATTTGAATGACGTGTATATGAATATATAACTTTTACTTTGAATTTTAATATATGTGAGATTTCAATATCCGATATCTGGACCGAACTTGTATTACGATGTAACATAATTACAAATATTCGAACTAATAATCTATTGAGTTCAATCAAAATCTAAAACATTATATAGTGTTTAATTCTTAATTTTGATAATGTAAATAATGTCTAACTTTAAAGTGTAAGCAAATAAATTATGTTTAAATAAGTAAAGTAAGTAGAAAAGATAGAAGATAGTGATAAGTAAAATAAGATGATAATGAATGTAATCATAGTGATGTGGTTATAGTGACATATAACTAAATAGATGATAGATGATTCTGTTTTCCATTTCCAAAACAGTTTTTAAGTGTGTTTCAGTTTTTCAGAAATTTTCAGTTTTCAAAATGGAAATTGTGTTAGTAAACATGTTTTCTGTTTTCTATTTTTCAGTTTCTGGAAATTTTCAGAAATTTCCAGTTAGTAAACGGCCCCTATTTTTTTTTTTTTTTTTTTTTTTTTTTTTGGTGAGGAGTAAACGGCCCCTATAGTTTGGTTATACACACTTTGAGAGCATGTGTCATTGACTCATTGTGTGGCGATATGATAGAGAATTGCAATACCGTGATTGCTTTTTGCTCGATATCAATTTTTTTTTTTAAAAAGAAAATATTACTTATACTCTCGAGAGTATATATTCTTATCACATAACATGTATTCTTATCTTGTGCTCGGATTGCATTTCTTTGGCTTCCTTGAGAGAATGTCACAGGATCGAATCCTGATGGTGGAGTCTTGACTCTTTAGGTTACATTAGATAGAGAAAGTATAGAACATATACTACTTTGTAATAGAGTCAATATATATATATATATATATATATATATATATATATATATATATATATAAAGAGTTAGAAAGGATTAAAAAAAAAAAAGTGAACTACTTAATATCATGAATTAATAATCAATAAACTGTATAAAGTAAAATGGAAATATGTATAGTAAAGTTAATTTGCATTGGTTTATTCAATAAAATTTAACTCTGAATTACTGCATAAGCTTTGAGAAAATTATTAGTGTGACTCTTAGAATCTATGCATAAATATGTCTGTCTTTTAAAAAAAAAACTTTGATCACATGTTTTTTTCTTCAATCAGTTAACTATGACCACATATTAAACGAATCTTGTTTATGTTGGTTACAACCTCAAAAATAATAAATTGGAATTTAAAAGATACTCACACTATCTCATTACACCATATTTATATGAATATGTTTGTGATTAAAGTTTGATGCATACATGTATAGCGCGCAAAATATGGATTATGATTTATGGACTGTATAATTGTTGACCTAAGGTTTGCCACAACTACGTATATATCTTGCGTGAAAAAAGGGCATTTTTAAAATATAATTTTCTCATTCACTATCTCTTAAATATGACTTTCTTTGTACTTCCAAAAAAAAAAAAAAAAAAAAAAAAAAAAAAAGAAAGAAGAAGAAGAAGAAGAAGAAGTCAAAATTGACATGATATCTAATTGGAATTAACAATGCATTTTGAATTGAAGAAGTAAAATTTTCTTTAAATTTGTCTAACTTGTACTACAACTTACTCCATACTTCAACCAAAGACCAATGAGGTAAGTATGATTCAAACTCAAAATTATTATTTTAAAAGTATAATTTAAGAATAATACGGAGTACTATTTTACTTTATGATTTTTTCTTCTAATATTCACATCTTGATGGGACAATAATTTTTAAATTTATTACTGTGAATTTAATCGACCCGAAGTTAAAAAAATTATTTAATAAACAAATATAAAAAGAACTCATCAAATACTACCACACAATGATATGAAAATTAAGATGTGAAATCAGGAGGAGATTATAATATTACTAATAATTTAGTATTAAATTATTACATATTAAACTCTAATTTACTTCAAAATGTTTTAAATAGGTACATTTATGGATAAGGTAAATGATGTTCAAATTCAAAATATTTGTTTAAACAAGTGCAATTTATCTAAGGATGACATGCATTTGTTCGTGAACTCAACGGGGAACCCAATTTCCTACCATGATGGGGTTAGTACAAAATTTGGTGAACGGGAATAGGGCTGCAAACACCCTACCAACCCCAATATATATACTTTTAACTCTTTAGTTGTTTTAAACTTATTATTAGTTTGAAAATAATATTTAAATTAGTTTTATTTTTTATTACAAAAGAAGGGGTATACCCATACAAACTACACCTATAACAAGGCTCAAAACTTAGATCTCCCACATAGGGGAGCAATCAGATACCCGTAGACCACAAGTCACTTGGTAATATTTAAATTAGTTAAAAAAATGTATAATCTTATATATTAAAAGTAAAATGATATTTTCACGTCTAAAAATTTTTCTTAATATTTTCTCTATGATGTGTCTTATAATAATAATCGGATGTCATGACTTAAGTGACTTCACATATTTTTAATTAAACACTAAAGCACCCAATTTCATAGTGTTATGTCAAGGGACCAAGAAAGAAGGAAATAAATTTTAAGAAAAGTGTATAACATTACTCATATTAAAATTAATGTTGCAGAATGTTCTAGGCGCTAGGGAATAATCTTTCAAACTAGTCAATTGCATATGTTATGGTTAGTTAAGTACATAGCTAGAGAAATATAGAAGATTAGTAGGCGAGCAAGCAAGCAAAAAAAAAAAAAAAAAAACACTTGACTGAGTTAGACACCGACGCGGTCGAGTTAGGCCCCCGACTTGGCCGAGACGCTTAACTCGGCCAAGTTGGCACCTAATTAGCCCATTAGTGGATCAGCCAACTAAAAGCTGTATAGGGCTGAAATCACCTCAACCAATGATTAATAAAAGTAAGGACTAAAATTTGTGTGGAATTGTATCATAAATCATTTAACCAACACCAAAACAACTCATAACAGTTACAAATACTTAAATAAGAATCCACGTGTTAAAAACGGACATTGTATTGTTTTTTTTTTTAAATAAATGTGAATTATTTCAAAAAATTAGAAACAATCTAGTTTGTTTCAGAATTGGTTGGTGGTGTGGTCAAGAAAGGGGCCAAAATCCCAAAAGGCTGAGTAGTAGACAAACAACCAAAACCAATTCGCCAAACCAACACGACTCTCTCGTGAATCAGACGGCGTTAAGACGCTTCTGTAACCTCATCTCTCAAACACTCATGCTTCTCTCGCATCCCTAGCCCCACCCCTCCGCAGAAAAGGTCAATGTCCCTGACACTTCCGTTCACACCACAACTTTCAAACCATTTTTAATGTTTTCTTAATACACTAAATTTACCGTCAACCTAATCCTAAGTCTCTGAAATCCTTATTCAAAAGCCGTTCGAGAATGAGAATCGCGAATAATCTCATCAATCTTCAACGTACAACAAGTTTTCATCATCTTTGATCAACCCCTAATGACTCATGGTTCCTGGTAGGATTCAAACCAAATGTTTTTTAATAATGTTTGTTAACGAATGACCAAAAATAATTATGCAATAATAATACTAAGACTAAAGTGGATATTCAAATAAAAAAAAAAAACTAAAATGGACTACCACCTAAAAAGGTTCAAACCTCTGCAACACAATGCAGGAATTATGCCTAAAATGGACAAATTCTTTATGCAAATCTTTTATTTGATCATGTCTACTAAGCCATTGAGTCATCATGATTTATATATTATTAAAATACTCTATCAAGTATAAGACCCTTGAAGTTGAGTATTTCTAATATTTTCGGGAGAATAAAAAAAAAAAAAAAAAGTAGAATCCAATCTACCATGCAAATAAGCGGTCAAACAAAATTTTAACGACTCAGATTTAACAAATGAGTGACAGGTCAGTCACCTACTGTGTACTTTATCATCAACCCCTCGCCCCTTTTTCTTTTCTTAGCCTCGCCTATGGCATCATTTTGACTCTTGTTTGGAATCACATTTTCTCTGTTTCTCTTCTTGGGGCGGCCATGGCAGTGGAGCTTATGATGGATTACAGACACGGCGGTAACGGCAGGAGTAGTGATCTCAGCTTCGCGAAGAAGCTGGAGGAGAGCGCGGTGGCGCAGGAGGCGGCGTCGGGGCTTGAGAGCGTTCATACGTTTATCAGATTGTTGTCGCAGCAGCAGCAGAATAAGGCGGCGGAGAGCCGGGAGAAGTCGTCGGTGGAGATTGAAATGGTGGCGGATGTGGCGGTGAATAAGTTCCAGAAGGTGATTAATCTTCTGGGTCGAACCCGGACCGGGCACGCCCGGTTCCGGAGAGCCCCCGTCGTTTCTTCTTTGCCGGTTCCGGCGAAGGATATCCAGGTTGACACCAAGGTTTATAATCCGACGCCGATTCAGCAAGTTCTGCCGCCGGTTGCTTTCGATCACTCCCCACGGCCGAAGAGCGCCGCCGGAGGCGGCGGCGGCGGCGGAAAGACGATTAGTTTCTCGTACTCGCCGGAGGTTTCGCGGGCCAACTCTTTCAATTTATCGTCGTTGACCGGGGAGACAGAGAGCAAACAGGCGTCTTCTTCCTCTGCTTTCCAGATTACCAATCTGTCCCTGGCCTCCTCCGGCGGAAAGCCGCCGCTTTCTTCGTCTTCGTTGAAGAGAAAGTGCAGCTCCTCCGAGAACAACCTCTCCGGCAAGTGCAGCGGCGGCTCCTCCGGCCGATGCCACTGTTCCAAGAGAAAGTAAACACCCTAAACCCTAGCTAACCCCTTCATCTTCCTTATCATTAAAACTAAAAACATATATATAACTCTTCTAACCACTCATCTTCCCCAATTGAACAGGAAGCTAAGACAGAAGAGGGTGACCAGAGTTCCGGCAATAAGCATGAAGATGGCCGACATCCCACCTGACGATTTCTCATGGAGGAAATATGGACAGAAACCTATTAAAGGCTCTCCACACCCTAGGTAAACATTCTTAATCTTGTTTTAACCTTAACAAAATCACCCTGACTTAGAACAACCCTAGTCATGTCGGTCAAGTTCGTAGCGAAATTAATTTGTCAATTTTCTTGATTTAAACCGAACAACTATTAGCAACTTAATTTAATTTATTGGCTAATCAGGCTATGACAACCTAGGCTAGTTTACCAGGTAGATCAATTTAGACTAATTTATGTTTTCATGATTCTTTACTGATTAGGGTACCGTAAACAGATTTATTATTTCTTGTGATTCTTGCCGACTAAAGTTACATTGTAATTACAAATTTACCTAGTTACTATGATTATTAACGTTATTGTTTTTGATGTCCCAGGGGATATTACAAGTGCAGCAGCGTGAGAGGGTGTCCGGCACGTAAACATGTAGAGAGGGCTCTGGATGATCCGACCATGCTGATTGTCACATATGAAGGAGAGCACAATCATTCCCTCTCTGTACCTGAAACAAGCAGTTTAATCTTAGAGTCTTCTTAGATTATTATGATCAGTTCATTCATGGTGATGAGGCTAGCTAGATCCAGATCTCAGTTTGCCCTGTAAAAATTTGTGCAGGCTGCAGGCTCACAGTGTAACCCTAGTATCTTCTGCTCTAGTGTTAGGGTATGTGTAGGGTTTGAGTTCTGAGTGATACTCTAATTTTATTTTGAATATTTAAAAATTTCGTGTAGGTTATTGTAGCTCTAGTTTGTGTTCATCTCCGAAGAGATTGGCAATTGGTTAGACCATGTCTTTAGTCTTGTTTCATTTTGTCCACATCTATTATACTTTCTTTTCTTTCAACATATACCAAAAAAGAAAAAATTTTATAAGTTCAACGATGAGTTACATTTATATTATCATACAACGGAACATAAAAAAATACACTCTATATATTAGTAAGAAGCTGCGATTGAGCTTCCATGAGTCATAGACACAATCACACAAATAGTCTCCAATCTTGATTTAATGGTACTATAATGTCTTAAAGCTTAAACTAGATCTTCAGCAACAATAATTTGAATGCTTTATTAATTTTAGTTGCATCTTGCCTTTACAGTTTTCTATCACTATTGCAGAAATAAATAAATAAATAAATGGAATTGAAGTAGGGCTAAAGTGAAGTTAAAGTGGGGATAATGGATTTGGTATGTGTCTTATTACAGACTGTCAGTGGGAATTGGGATCAGCAAGGGATTACATTCTAATCTTATCCTTAATTTATTCCAACAATAATTAATTTAAGATATTTTTTACTGTATTAATATAATAACATTAATATCAATAATATTTGGTATAATCATGTATATATTATTTTGATTTACTGAAAAGTTCACAGTCATTATCCGAAGTGTGCTTTAGCTAAAATTCATTTTGCAATCTTAGTCGATAAATGATCGCAATGAAGTAAATTAGCTAAGATTTCTTATAGCAAACATGATTAAACTAACTGTAAATTAAAAGTCAATATGCAACTCCTACAATAAATCAAATTTGTAACCGAAAGCATTTTAATTTATTCTTCTTTTTTTTTCTTTAATGGTATAGTGAATATAGTGTATTCATAGTTTAAAGGGGAAAAAAATCTTAACGGAATGATTCAGTCAAAAATAATGATGCAAGTTGAGGAACATGTCGTGTGGGCAACGGTGGAGGGTTGACCATTAAAAGGGAAGACGAAATGGAAGGTGGCAGTTGGGACGGCTGATTTACTCTTAAAGTGAAGTGAAGCCAGTTAATTGTAACCACCCATTTTTGTTGCTCAATCAATGTTTCAATGTACAATTTCAGATTTCACGACCGACTGAATCAAATCCATACGTTAATTCAACTAGAATCTTCTTTTTTTGAGCAGGGTGTTAGTGATAATGGACTCATGATTTTTAGAGATAAAAATCATATTTCATTTGCTCAGTCACTCTTTTTGAGGTAAATATTAATGTTGGTATTGTAAATTCAATGGATATATTATATAAATTATTTGGATAGACATAGATTTAGAATAAGGTTTACATTTGATGGTGCCGTGGGACGGGAACTAAAGACAATTGGACCAACGAGTAAAGGTTTAATTAAGAATGGATAAAGGTAGAGAAGGAGATACAATCGTTGGGGCTTGAGGAACCCCTTAACTTGCAAGCAGACAATACTAGCACAACCGCACCTTACTCCAACTAGTTTACCTAGCTAATATCTTGTGTATGTTAAAGCAGTAAATAATGTACAAGAATACGTGTCGGTAGGGCGTTATTTTGACACTTGGCACGATCTTTGATGGACACTTGGATGAAAAAAAGCCACAATAACCACTCATTTTTGGGAAATGAACACTAAAAGAGGTACTTATTTGCTCTCCCTTCAAAGTTCGAACACAATAGATTATAAAATTACACACTTGAGACGATTTTTCTAATCTTTGAAATATATGCATGTCTTCTAGAGGATGCGAAGTTTGATTTGAATTGTTAAAGATTGATCAAATTTAATTTGGTCAAACATTGGTGCACGCACATTTCTAACACGTAAATTGAATTTGTGTTCTGATACTGAGTGATGGGGAGGGTTTGAATGGTTTTAAAATTCTTCAAAGTTGGTTGGTCCACAGTAGACTCAAGTAGAGCCAGCATCCTCAAATTCTCCATTTGATAATAAAGAAACTGTACAGTAGTACATGACATTACGGGTGCATGGTATGCTTCAACACATCATATTCTATTCCTACATAAATAATAATAATAATACTCTTCGAATATTTGTTTTAATAGTATGGTTAGATAGAGAGGCCTTTTTAAATTTTTTTTATTTAATATAAGAAAAAATAAACAAAAATCACTCCATCAATCAACTCATTAGTTTTTCCCCAAATCACTCCTCTCCTTTAATAATTAGGACCTAATCAATTGAACATGACAAAATTATTCTGTGTAACTAAAAAGAATAGTCATATATTTTACGATATTGATTTTAAAGATTGCGCTTATACTTTTGGTAAGACCTTATTTATTTATAACCTGCCTTGTACATCGCCCATAAATGGTGAGCCACTCCATCGGTTAGAAATATACAAATTACAAAAATGCATTGTACATGCAAAAGCACTATAATATCTAATATTTAGTGGAGCATTATATATATATATATATATATATATATATATATATATATATATATATATATATATAGAATTAAGCAACCTCCAATTTAATGATAGTTGCTTAGCTTTTTGAATCACCATAATCCTTATACTGCAATAGAGAGATTATCATTCACTTTTTTCTGAAAACCAAAGAAATGATTGTATTAAAAGAACTCCAAAATGCAGGGGATGAACTCCACACTCAGGACATAGGAAGAACCGGCTGCCCGCGCTAATGCAATCAGGAGGGGATTATCATTCACTTAATCTCAAACAAAGTAGCTAGATGTTTATATGCAATAACTTGAGTAGTGAGATACTAAAGATGTTTATATATATCTCCTACGTACCACCATTATATATAGGCTATGTAACTGATTAGCTTAAGAGTACGATCCAAAAAATAATTAAAATAAGAGGTGGGCTTGACCAAGGCTATCCAATTAGGAGAATAGGGGTTGGTCGGCGACCCAGACACCCGATCTCAGTTTACCGACGAGTGACGAACTCTTTGGGATCAAGCGGACCGAAGCGGACTGTCGGAGGGTGGCAGCGGACCGCTCCCAGGTCCGCGGCCTTGGCGCTTTTTGGTCCAATGTTGGAGCGTCTTGGTTGTCCGTTAGTGGTTGGAGAGCCTCAACTTGGTTCACCCAGGTGAGTGGCGTGCTATTCGGTGGAGGGGCAAACTGCTCGGACTGACCACTTGGACAGACGGGTCGCTCTGGCAGTTAGCGATGCAATTGGCGATGTCCAGTACGTGGCTTGCGACGTGGCACGCAAGGAGATATTTGGCGGGAGAGCGCAACACCTAGTGAGACACGCGTATTGCATACAACGGAGGAGAGTAGAGTATAGTTTTTAATCTTTTGCCCCGACTGACAAAGATTTTTGAATCTGTTTTTTGGCCACAATAATGTTACGACCAAATGAAGATGTTTTAATAAAAAAAAGATTAAATTTAAAGTAGACCCTCACATATAAATGTAAGATTAAAAATAGACTTCCATTAATACACATCATGTAATGAAAATAATACTCTATAAAAAAGACAACATTTTGTTGAATTAAGGAAGTCAAAATCTGCAGCTGGGGTATTGATTAGTGTTCAAGTTTGGACACACAATGGGGCCCTAGAAGTTCTTCTGTAGTTTGTTTTTTGCCTTGGCTGATTGCTCAAAGTCAACAGAGGATGCATGCATGGGTCATCCATTGTGGTCTGTCTTCTTTTAATGCCTGACGACTGCCATGTGACAACGCATCTTATTATAGTCTCCTCTTTTTATCCTTTTGGTTTAAGTGAGACGACATGACAGCTATGAGCTCTAATTTCTGTACTACTTTATAAAAGGAAAATAATATATTTATTCTCGTGAAGTATAAACTCCCACCAAGTATAGTGTATTAATAAATTTATATGAATAAAGAAAAATAGTGATCCATTTGGTTATTTAAACCAATCAAATAATAACATTTCAGTAAAGAGTATAAAATGGAGTAGAAAGTAGGAATAAATATAGTATTACTCTTTATAAAATGTCTTTCACTTTTATGAAAGGCAATGGAGTGCGTCGAACCAAACACATCAATTGAGATGGAGGGAGTAGTAATTTTTCAGGAATGGGTTGTTGAGTGGGCAGTATATAATTCTCATTTTATCTGTTGTACTTATTATTTATTGATCAATTAATTCTTTAATTTTTTTATTTTTATTAACATTTGTTTATAATTTCTATTTTTTTTTTGTGTTTAATAGTGTTTTTAATGTAGTTTTTAAATATATAAATTTTACATATTATTTCTAAACTAAATATTATGAAAAATTAAATTGTAAATAACTTCATTCAAGTTTCGTTAACCGAACTCGACGCATAAAATGAGACGAAGGAAATATATTAAAAAGTTACGAATTTAATTATTGTTAACATCTTGTAGTTGAATCTATTATATTGATTTTTTTTTTTTGTGCGATTTATCCTATCTCCTTTGTTGTTTGCAAGTTATTATATAAAAGTTGAATTATCCATTGTACACCATATGATAATGATTATGGATTCCTTAGTGAAATTACTCAATGATTGTGGGTTCGTCTCATCACATAAAAAAAAAATAGAATAGTTTCTGAAACTACGTCTTATTTCCCGTCACATTCCTGTAGGAAGATTTGTGTGGGGTACCTGGTTGACCTAGTTAAATTAGCAATCGTTATGCTATGGATCCGTGTCCAGCGTGCATTGTGGACACGGTAACGGTGTCGTTAGTGACACCGTTATCTTCCACCATTTTTTATTTTTTATTTTTTAAAAATTTCAGACCGCTTTGTTATAAGAGCATATGTTCATAATTTTATTACTATATGTTCATAATTGTAAGTTCATAATGTCAGAGCTCTGTGTTCATAATTCCATAACTGTACATTCATAATTCCGTAACTGTACATTCATAATTACGTAACTGTAAATTCATAATTTTTGAAACTCTATGTTCACAATTTTAGAGCTCTATGTTAATAATTTTATCATTATATGTTCATAATTGTAAGTTCATAATGTCAGATCTCTGTGTTCATAATTCCATAACTTACATTCACAATGCCACAAACGAATAACGCCGTTAACGGCGAGACAAAATCAATTTTTTAAAAAAAAAAAAACTGAAATGTCGCGTTTTCTCTGAAAACGACATCGTTTTGGACTCGTATCCACAATGCATTGTGGACACGAGTCCACAGCATAATTTGTTATACTATGGACCCGTGTCCTGCATGCTGGATACGGTAACGGTGTCGTTAGTGGCACTGTTCTCTTCCACTTTTTTTTTTTTTTTTTTTTTTAATTCCAGACCACTTTGTTATATGAGTATATGTTCATAATTTTATCACTATATGTTCATAATGTCAGAGCTCTGTGTTCATAATTGCATAATTGTACATTCATAATTTCATAACTGTATATTCATAATTCCGTAACTGTACATTCATAATTCAATAACTGTAAATTCATAATTTTCGAAACTCTATGTTCACAATTTTAGAGCTCTATGTTCATAATTTTATCATTATATGTTTATAATTGTAAGTTCATAATGTCTGAGCTCTGTGTTCATAATTTCATAACTTACATTAATAATTCCATAACTGTACATTCATAATTACATAACTGTACATTCATAATTCTATAACTGTACATTCATAATGCCACAAACGAATAACACAGTTAACGGCGAGACAAAATTAAATTTTTTTTTTTTTTTTTTAACTGGAAGGCCGCGTTTCCCTTAAAACGGTGTCGTTTGGACTCGTGTCTATAATGCATTGTGGACACGAGTCCACAGCATAATTTGCGTACTCATTTGTATGGGCCCAAAATACTAATTATAAATATAAGGGTGTAGCCAAGATACAAAACAATTGGACTAAAGCCCACCTTGTATCTTTCAAATGGACCAAAGCCCAAATTCTTCGTGTTTAACTCTCGCGACTAGCAGTTCCTAATCTTTCCTTACAGAACTTTTCATGGCTACCCAAATCCCAACTGTCTCTGCACAAAACCTCCACGATGCCGACGGCGTAGATGACCTTCTCTGCTCAGGAATCGCCGCCGCCGAAGCCGACGGAGATGCGAATCACATTCATTCCTTAGAAGAAGAAGAAGAAGAAGAAGAAGAAGAAGAAGAAGTTCAGTCCTCTAGTTTGGTTCGTCCGAATGGGTACTTGCGTGGAGAGGCGTGGATTGAGAGAGCGTGGATTCACTGGAAAAAAATTGGACAGCCGAAACTCATTGTTGCACCTATGGTCGACAACTCGGAGCTTCCTTTTCGTATGCTCTGTCGTAAGTACGGTGCTGAAGCTGCTTATACCCCTATGCTACACTCGCGTATTTTCAACGAAGACGACAAGTATCGCTCTGTAGAATTTACTACCTGCAAGGTAATCTACTTTAAGCTCAAACAGTTTTCAAAAACTTGAAAATTTTCCCTGCTTGGATTATATTCTTAAAATTTGCTTTGTACATTGCCCGTATGCATTTCTGCAACTACATATTTCAGTTTGTATCCTCAAATGTTACTTCTTTGGCGCATTTTGACATATGATTATGGCCCTGTTTGGTGAATGATAGCCCATAGCTGTTAGCGTTAGCGGATTGAGTTAATTAGAGGTTATAATTAGTTGATAACATTTATTTAGTTGATACCGAGTAACATTTATTGTAGAAATGAGTTTGGTAAATTAGCTGTTAGCTTATAGCTGTTTGGTATAATTTTTTTCTCAAAAAGCTAATTGAAAAAGTTGCTTTGAGCAACTTTTTGAATTTGCTAATTAACCAAACACCTATATTAATTTTTTAACAAAGTCAAACAATTAATAGTTGTCAAATAAGTCAAAATTGGTTGATAGGCTAACTATTTTACCAAACAAGGCCTATATAAATTCTAGGCGTACCACTTTTGCCGAGCTGCCTGCATGTTTTATTGTTTAATGCAGCTTTTAAAATTTCTTCTGTAGAATGTTAATGTCCAATTTCAAGATGAGTGTTGTTCTTTTCTGATTTGGACTTTGGAGTGCTTGATATCTACTATCATTTAATGTGTGTTTTAAAATTTCTTGATTAGAATGCTGATATCCAATTTCAGGATGGGTTTCTTTTTTCCTGATTTGGATTGCTTGCTTTCTGCTTCATCTATGTATTTGTTCCAGAATTGTGTTACTGGGCATTCTAATGTTCCAGTTTGGTATTCATCTTACTGTGTTCTCTAAATTGCAGGAGGATCGCCCACTTTTTGTTCAATTCTGTGCGAATGACCCAGACACTTTGCTGGAAGCAGCCCGGAGAGTAGAACCTTATTGTGATTATGTGGACATCAACTTAGGGTAGCATCCTCCTTCCTTCAAGTGTTATCTATTATTCTAACATTGATACTAAAATAATGTCTGAAGATAATTTGCTTACACTTAGGCAATTAGAGGTAGTCCTGTTGTCTTGGATACTGATTATTTGCTACTAGAAAACAATTGGCATTTGATTATAAGTATTTTTGTCTTGGTGTTTAGATGGACACTCCTCATTTTGGACCTTAATCACTACATTTTTTTTTTTGTCTGGCTATTTAATTTTCAAATTCTACAACCATTACTTCTGTTTAAATGAATTTTCTTTTGTGATATTCTTTCAATTTAGTCTACAATCATAATCCGTCATTTTTCAGTCAATTCTGGTTTAAGTTTATTTCTACATTTCCCAGTTGATTGATCTGTTCACATACGATAGAATATGATTTTATTGGCTCTTATATAAATTGTTTTATTTCCCAGGTGTCCCCAGCGTATTGCAAAGCGGGGGAACTATGGAGCTTTCCTCATGGATAATCTTCCAGTTGTTAGGGCTCTGGTAGAAAAATTGGCTCAAAATCTTAGCATTCCTGTTTCATGCAAAATCCGTGTCTTCCCTGATTTGCAAGATACCATCAATTATGCCAAGATGTTGGAGGAAGCTGGTTGTGCTCTTTTAGCAGTCCATGGACGAACAAGAGATGAAAAAGATGGGAAGAAATTTCGAGCCAACTGGCCTTTCATCAAGGCTGTTAGAGATTCAGTGAGAATTCCTGTCCTTGCTAATGGGAATATACGTCATATGGATGATGTACAAAATTGTTTGGAAGAGACTGGTGCGGATGGGGTACTTTCAGCTGAGACTCTTCTTGAGAATCCAGCCCTTTTTGCTGGATATTTGACTACTGAATGGTCATCTGGCAGTAATGGAACCCTGGAAGATGGACAGTTAGACCAGGCTGAGTTATTAGTGGAGTATTTGAAGTTTTGCGAGAGATATCCTGTGCCATGGAGAATTATTCGGTCTCATGTGCACAAGATGTTGGGAGAGTGGTTCAGGATCCAGCCAGATGTAAGAGAGGATCTAAATAAACAATCAAAACTAACATTTGAGTTTCTACATGGCTTGGTAAATCGACTAAGGGAACTCGGTGTGAGGATACCCCTGTTTGTGAAGAAACCCCACAAAGAATGCTTGCAAGTGGAGTAGAGACATGAAAAAACTGGTTTTCTACATGTCTTGTTCCATGACCCATTTTTTCTTGATGTCAACAATATAGAAGCTGGTATCTGCAGCACCAGATTACAGCAAGGTTTGATCTAATTGTTAAATTCACTACTTGGTTACTCGATTTTAACTTGTTCATTCATTCTGAGAATTGTACGGTTGATGTTGTTTAAAACATTGTGAAATTACACATTTGGAGAATATACATACATCCATGGGTAAGAAGCAAGCTTGCACAAGTATACTATGTCGAGAAAGTTTGCATTGCACTACTAGATTTGAAATTAATTATTTCTCTTGTAACCCATATATTTTGTTGTAACATTTGCTTCTTTGTAACCCCAAGAAACACTGCAATCTTGCTAATTTCAGCCCGTAACACACTCTGTTCAAGGAGCTCTGAATTGGGATAATGAATTGAAGTGTGTGGTGGAACTTAGTCTGAGTGAGATAAATGTGTCCAAGAGTGCTTTGTCTTGGGATCTTCTGGTGCCATATTGCCATCATCAGTACGCATAAAAGAGATCATGATGTAATGGGTCCTCCACAGTCTCTTCTGCGTCATACCTCCATGTGAGGATGTGGAGCCTCCCTTCTCTCCCTGTTATACAGCTCTAAAGGTCAGGCCGTCAGGTACTTCCAAATTCTTGTGTGTTGATGTTGGAAAGATTTGGGGTAACTTAGCTCTGCCTCTGGATACTGTAGATAATATCCACAGGATTGCTTTCTGCTAATTTTATGTATCTCATTCTTAGTTCTTAACTAATTATATAGTATTTGCTGCAATGGGACAGGTTAACTACTACTAGTAGTCTACTACTACAATGGGACAATATACATTTATTGATGTAACATGTGTTGTATTTGAAACAAATACTCATTGGTCCTTCTAGAGTTACACGTGAATTAGTGGTACTAATGCTTCCCTTTTTTGTTTTTTGTTTTTGTTTTATTGACGAAAGAAACCTGCAACCATTATCTGAGAGTATGTATTGGGTAAACTCTACTGGTAAACCAGCTTAGGTTGCGCATAACTAACTGGCTCAATCCAAGAAGGTTCAATTGGGAATTGAACTTGTGGTTACCAATTCAATAGTGACTACTCAGCTAAAATTGTTCCCAATGCTTCAGTTTTGACACTGCTTGCTCTGCACATGTATTTTGGCTTTTGCCTACTGCCAGTAAGGATGTTCCCACTTGGCTATTTTAATCTCTTGCTCCAACCCTTGTTGAGAGTGGAAGTTGATAAGGTTATGTATTATTACTATCATACTCCTTACATCAATTATATATATGATTAGCTTATTACTATGGTTTCTAAAAGATTGTAAGGATGGGGAGAGTTATCATCTCAGTTCTCACAGTTTCTCATCTCTTCTTCTTCTTCTTCCTCTTCTCACTTCCATTGTTCCTTGAAGCCACCATTTCCATATCCTCACCTGGAGAAAATAAGAGAGCTGCATTAGAAATCATAATATCATTTACTCCTCCCCCTAGCTCCGCCCCTGAACCCACATGTCCTCCTCCTCTGCCTCCCCCTCCAGAATGCCCTCCGCCACTCCCTCCACCTCCACCTCCTCCGCCACAAAAACCACAAAAACCGCCTCCATCACCCCCTCCTCCGCCACAAAAACAGCCTCCATCACCCCCTCCTCCGCCACCAAAACAGCCTCCATCACCTAGTTTTCCATTCCCATTTGAAACATCAGAACTACGCAGGATAGAGAGAGTGATCAAAAGATTCAGAAGAACAATAATCCATGACCCAACCGGCATTACCAAAACCTGGACGGGCAAGGATCAACTCTGCAAAAACTCATCCGCATACATAGGATACATTTGTTACAACACAACAAAAGACAACAGGCTTGCTGTTGGTGGCATAAACTTCAACGGTCGCCACCTTGGCAATAGTACAAACCCTCTGTCGCTGGAAAAGTATGTCGAACAGTTCAAGGACTTGGTCGTTCTCCATGTCAACTCCAACAACTTCGTAGGCACCATTCCTTCTGGAATCTCAGTGTCCAATCTCCCCACTCTCTTCGAGCTCGACGTCAGCAACAACAAGCTCTCTGGGCCGTTCCCAGAACACGTTCTTGCAGCTACAAACTTAACATATTTGGACCTCCGGTTCAACACCTTCCACGGCCAACTCCCCCCTCAAGTCTTCACACTAGACCTTGACGCTCTGTTCCTCAACAACAATGGATTCTCCGGCTCATTACCCGACAACCTTGGCAGAACCCCTGTCTTCTTCCTAACCTTAGCAAACAACTACTTCACTGGCCAAATCCCTAGAAGCATTGGTGACGCTTCAAAGTACCTGCTTGAAGTTCTATTCCTGAACAATGAATTATCCGGCTGTCTTCCCTGGGAAATCGGGAAGCTGAAAAACGCAACCGTCTTCGATGCCAGCAAAAACCAGTTAACAGGCCCCATTCCACACTCATTCGGCTGCCTCAAGAAACTGCAGATCCTCAACCTAAGCACCAACAAGATGTACGGGGCCGTCCCGGAATCACTGTGCGTGCTGGGAGACCTGGAGGAACTGAGCCTGGGATCAAACTATTTCACCCAGGTCGGAGAAGAATGCAGGAAGCTAATCGCCAAGAAAATTCTGGACGTGAAGAATAACTGCATTCTGGGTCTGCCCAACCAGAGAAGCCCGCAAGAGTGTTCGGATTTCTTCTCCAAACACATGCAGCGTTGCAGTGACGAGAAAACCATGTTGTCGCACCTACCTCCTGGTTGTCGTATTGATTCACTCTCTACCTCTCCGAAACACGCACGCCATAGCTCACAAACACGCAAGAAGAAGACAGCAAAAACTACTTATGCTGCACTCAAGATGCATGGACCATGATGATGTTCAATTCCTTAATTTGTGTTTATTATAATATATTTAATGGACCTCGCCGGGGTTAGTTTTAACTGTGTATTGCATATAGGATTTCAATTGAAGAAGGAATAAAGTAATTGTCTTTGTATTTGTGAATGCTTAGGCGGCAGCTACGTTATCAAGATTGGTAAACTTTGACAAGAATGATCATGGTATGTTGTCGAATTTGCGCAGAGATTAGCTTCTTTGTGTTTACACCTAGAGAACATGTCCTGTCTCACTTCGAAATCTCTTTAATAGCTTCAAACCAAGGATCTCATGATGTTTGGTGCAAACCTCATCTTACTAATGGCTAAAAACGAATCACTCTCAATAAGAATAACATAATAAAAGCCTTTATTAACTGGTCTATGATAGATATAGCTCAAATTTCATCGAAAAGTCTAGTTGAAACTCCAAATCTGAATGTAAAATTACAAATTAAATCAACTTTCTCACACAATTCTCTACAACGTGATCAGAAGCCACGATTCCCCAATTGGCCAATTGCACTATCATTGACTTCGATAACATAGCTTGTCAACGGCAAATTATTTCGTGGACCTGGGTCGACCTTGTGCAGATCCAAAAATACACAATTAATATACTTGGCCTGTTTGATTGAGCGTAATTTGACTGTAGTTGAATTGCAATTCAGTGGAAGCCACAATTACGCTGTCCGGTTGGAGGGAATTGCAATTCCACAGAATTGCAATTCCCTCCTTTTGCTGAATTGCAATTCATGGGCACCCCCCTATGAATTGCAATTCGGTGGTTGTGGGAAAAGGACAAAAGGATGAAAGGACAAAAGTACCCTTAATTATTACTACTATTATTATTACACAAGGGCAGTTTAGTCTTTATATCACTTCTTTCATTCCCTACCCAATAATTCTATTCATCCCTACCAAACAATGTAATTTGAATTCCTACTTTATTTCACCTTATTCTTTTCCCACCGAATTGCAATTCATTTCCTCCCTAATTCCTTACTCCCAACCAAACGCCCTGTAAAATGTTTCAAGAGTTAATACCCAAAATAGTCCCTCGACTATGTCGTAATTACCAATTTGGTCCTCGACTATCATTTTTACCCAATTAAGTCCTCAACTATACAATTTTTACCCAATTTAGTCCTTTGTCAATTTGACTGTTTGTTGACTGTCAAAAGTGGAAATAAAGTTGTAATTTTACAAGTTTTCTCCTTCCTCCGCATTTAGCAGCGCTAAACCATGTAGCAATAAGCTCCGGTTGGGTTCTAAACCAGTCAGTATCGAAGTAGTGGTTGTGCATCGGATAGCCCATGAATTTGATTTTCAACGATTTTTTGACGATCGAAATCTGATCGGAGTGTATTGCTGCATGGTTTGGCGCTGCTAAATGGAGAGGAATGAGAAATCTTGTAAAATTATAATTTTATCCCGACTTTTGACAGTCAACAAACAGTCAAATTAATACAGAAGACTAAATTGGGTAAGAATTGTATAGTTGAGGACTAAATTGGGTAAGAATTGTATAGTTGAGGACTTAATTGAGTAAAAGTTACATAGTTGAGGACTTAATTGGGTAAGAATGGTAGTTGAGGACCAAATTGATAATTATGGCATAGTCGAGGGACCATTTTAGGTATTAACTCATGTTTCAATTTACTTTTTAAAAATTCACAATTTGTGATGACCCTGTATTGTATTCACAAATTCTTAGACACACAATTTATATTCTATATGTACACAATTCCAATACTAAAAGTACAAAATTTAGAACCAAGGTCCATCTTGCAAGGTGGATCCTGGTCAATGGTATAACAACTGCTTTTCAACTTATCCCATCTAATGAGGCAAATTATGCCGCGCAACGGTTGCAAAAACGGCGTTGTTTTGATTAAAAACGATGCGTCCGACTTTTAAAAAAAATCATTTTGATTGCCATTAACGGCGTTATGCTGTGCATAATTTGAACTATATATCCAGAATTAATGAACTATATATCCACATCGGTTACTGGTACTCTGTTTTGACTTATGGCTGTTCGATGCGTCTGTGTATTCAGAATGAATGAACTATATATCCAGAATTAATGAACTATAAATTCAGAATTAGTGAACTATATATCTAGAATTAATGAACTATATATCCAGAATTAATGAACTATATATCCAGAATTAGTGAACTATGTATCCATAATTAATGAACTATATATCCAGAATCAGTGAATTATATATCCAGAATTAGTGAACTATATATCCACACCGAAAATGGTGGAAATCCTGTCGATTGGAGTTTTTTTTTTTAAAAAACAATTGATTGATGGAGTTAAACGGTGCCACTAACAACACCGTTACTCCACATAGTGAAATGATGTCGCTCGCAACTATGTGCACCATGCATGATGCACACGGTTGCATAGCATAACAACTTGTCTAATGAAAACTTCTTATTATAATTTAGTGGTACATTTACAAATGATCCAGCCCAGTGGTTGAAATGGCCCAAATCTCAGCACAACGGCCCAGCCCACATATTGCCTACGGAGACCCCACTTAACCACCTAGCATGTATCAAACACGCACTTTTCACGTGAGTTCATGGTAGCGTGGTTTCCACGCTAGAAAAGAAAAAATGAAAAAGAAAATAAAGACTTTAAAAGGAAGGAAAGAAAAGAATAAAGAATCGTTGACTTTAATAAATTTTATCCCATAAAAAACGCATTATAAGAAAGACCGAAAAGCATAACCGATTATTTCAAATCAATGGTTTTTGTCGACAATGATCTCCGCCGTACATCTTTGATTTAATCTCCGCCGTCAATTCCGACTAGTATTTACTTCCGCGGTTCCACCCCCCAAAAATAAACTCCCTCTCACTCCTCTCTCTCTCTCTCTCTCTCTTCGTCTCTCCGTCTAGCGACGACCACAACTCCGGCGACCGTTCATTTTCCGCTACCGGAAACAATGTCGGGAGGTATTGCTCGTGGTCGTCTCACCGAGGAGCGCAAAGCCTGGCGCAGAAATCACCCTCACGTGCGTCTCGCGCTCTCTCTTCTCGTCTCTCAGTTCTGCTTTATCTTCCTGCATATTTCCATCTGTATCATCTCGTGTGATCTTTACTTTTAAAATGATTTCGGCTTTGTGGATTTCGATGTTCGCGTATTGTTTATGTTTGGATTTGTGTTTTTGCTTTAGGGATTCGTGGCTAAGCCGGAGACACTACCGGACGGTTCAGTGAACTTGATGGTTTGGCACTGCATTATTCCCGGCAAGGCCGGGGTAAGTCCTTGTCTCCTTTATTACCTACCATTTTTTCCACTGTTTTTGATAGTTCAAGTTAGCTGAAGGTAAATTTTGTTTGTAAAATATGCAAAGAGACCTAGTTGAAGAAGTTTTTTGAGTGATTGTCTGGTAAAAATTTTATCTGTTATATCTGAGTGAAGAGTGGCTGCTAACTTTATGAATTTTTTATTAACTCGAGGGATTGATTTGAAGGTTGTTCTACTTTGGTTTGCTTGGTGCATTTAGTTTCTTAGTATAGTCAAATTACAGTAAGAAAAGTGTTTTAGTCCAATTAAATTCTCCAATTTGATCTTTTAACTTACTAGTAATAGAGTAAAGTTTACTAATTTTTCCCAAATCTAATTGCAAATTAGAATCATGCTGCTTTTGTCATGTGTTTAGGAGTCTCCTTTAGCTTTTGTTATGTGTTTGGCTTCATGAGTGATATTCACAAGTTGGATGACTCGATCTCTGTATTAAAATTATGAGATGATTTTTTCTTGTAAAAATTTAAATTTTAAACAACAGGGGTGAAAATTAGTTCACACTTGTTTAATAAGGTTGCTAGCTAAGTAGATAGTTTTTGTTTTTGCTGGTGCTGCTTTATGATTTTACTTGCACACAGTTCAGTCAGATAGATAGATATTGCTTGATTTTCAGCAGTCAGGACAGTCACGAAAATGAATCTTATGTTGCAATATAAAAATAAAGCTTAAAGCTGTTTAATTAAATTAAACAGTGCTTACATAGTACACACATTATTATTTGAATCATAATTCTGCATTTCTGCTACAGTATTTCTTAGATTAGACGCTAAAGTGTACTATAAGTTTTTTTCAAAATGCGACAATTCATTACAAAGCACTAAAATTTTTATTTTTTCATCCACAATCAGTGATCATCTTTTTCTTGAACATGGTCTTCCTCCCTTTATCTTAAAAAGTGGTGGTGATCACCAATTCTTGATTTTTATGATTGATTACATGCATAACAGTTATGTTGTCCCAAAAAGCATGTATCATAAATTACATCAATGGAATGGTCTGAATATTCTGGTCCCATGTGTAACAACAGTTAACTTAGTGCAGTAACTTTGATTTAGTACCATATTAAAATTATACACTCTGTAACAGACTTTCCAACTTTCTATTGGACCGTTTAATAAAGCTTATAATCATGGATTTTGATTATTGTTAATATTTGTAGATTGTGAATGAGGTAACTTTTTGTGCATAGGTTATTGACTTAAATAAGGTTAAAGTGTTGTAAAATCATGATCCATAATCTACAATCTGTTCCAATAATGGAAAAAAGAAGACTACTTAATCTATAGTCCCAGTAATCTGATTACATAATCTTTACTGAACAGCACGGTATAAATATTTACAGTTTTTTTGTGTCTATTTACTCATTAACTCTAGAAGAAATATGCTTGCTGGTAGAATATCATCTCACCTATTGTTCAGAAAGATTGCACAAACTTTGCGTAGGCACATATATTTGTAATTCTCTCTGTGTTTTTATAATTTGGTTGCTGAGCAATATAACTGCTGCAGACTGACTGGGAAGATGGTTATTATCCACTTACAATGCACTTCAGCGAGGACTACCCAAGCAAACCACCAAAATGCAAATTCCCACAGGGTTTCTTCCACCCTAATGTCTATCCTTCTGGGACAGTTTGCCTCTCAATCCTTAATGAAGATTATGTATGCAGCATTCTCTTTCTGTACGCTGACTTAAGTCTCAATTAATCTGGTATATGATGGGCTTTCACTGTTTTTGGTTGTTTCTAGGGGTGGAGACCGGCCATTACCGTCAGGCAAATTCTAGTTGGTATCCAGGACTT